ATACCCATAGATTTAGCACATCTATGTCCACAATACCCATAGATTTAGCACATTTATGCCCACCGTACCCACAGATTCAGCACATTCATGCCCACCGTACCAATAGATTTAGCACATCTATGCCCACCGTACCCATATATTCAGCATTTATGTCCACCGTACCCATATATTCAGCACATTTATGTCCACCGTACCCATAGATTCAGCACATTTATGCCCACCACACCAATAGATTCAGCACATTTATGCCCGCCATACCCACAGATTCAGCACATTTATGTCCGCCTTACCCATAGATTCAGTACATTTATGCCCACCATACCCATAGATTCAGCATTTATGCCCACCATACTCAGATTCAGCATATTTATGCCCACCATACCCACAGATTCAGCATTTATGCCCACCATACCCACAGATTCAGCACATTTATGTCCACCATACTCATAGATTCAGCACATTTATGTCCGCCTTACCCATAGATTCAGTACATTTATGCCCACCATACCCATAGATTTAGCATTTATGCCCACCATACCCATATATTTAGCATTTATGCCCACCATACACATAGATTCAGCGCATTCATGCCCACCATACCATAGATTTAGCACATTCATGCCCACCATACCCATAGATTTAGCACATTCATGCCCACCATATCCATAGATTCAGCATTTATGCCCAGCATACCCATAGATTCAGTATATTTATGCCCACCATACCCACAGATTCAGCACATTTATGCCCACCATACCCATTGATTCAGCACATTTATGTCCGCCTTACCCATAGATTCAGTACATTTATGCTCACCATACCCATAGATTTAGCACATTTATGCCCACCATACCCATAGATTCAGCACATTTATGTCCACAATACCCATAGATTTAGCACATTTATGCCCACCGTACCCATAGATTTTGCACATTTATGCCCACCATACCCATATATTCAGCACATCTATGCCCACCGTACCAATAGATTTAGCACATCTATGCCCACCATACCCATATATTCAGCATTTATGCCCACCATACCCATATATTCAGCACATTCATGCCCACCATACCCATAGATTTAGCATTTATGCCCACCATACCCATAGATTTAGCGCATTCATGCCCACCATACCCACAGATTCAGCATTTATGCCCACCATACCCATAGATTCAGCACATTTATGCCCACCATACCCATAGATTCAGCACATTTATGCCCACCATAGTATTCAACAATCGAGGGATCAAAGAATAACAATAGACATTAATTCATAATACAATGCAGCTTAACAGTTTAATATTAATAGCACTTCATCTGGTCACAATCAACTGAGAGATGAAAGGGGCAAATCATCAATAAAAGAAATAAGGACCAAAAATAAGAACATTAGCACTGGAACAATAGTACATTTATGATGCTGCCATGTACCTAAACATATAAAAAAAACATAACTACAAGAAGTGTTTAAAGAATTAAATTGTGCTCAAGTCTCTGTTGGTATCCAGATATCACACCCAAAACGCTGATGAAAATACAAGTTGCACCATCTTTTTTTGGACTGAAGATATAACAAAATGGGCATTATATTAGAGCGAGTTTGTCTGTCATGATTATCCATTCCGCTGAAAGCAATGAGGAACTTACAAGAAATGGAATCAAAACATGTTTCTCACACTACTTAAATAACAGTGGAAATTACTTATTTTTTACATGAATTTTTTTGGCTAAGAGTTGGCAATCTTTTGCACATGACTGACCAATTCTCAAAGCAGAGCGCCCTCGTTCATCGTCAGCAGACTATTTCCTGCAAGTCAGCTAGCAATTTTAAGATGAATGAAAACCAAAGAGCCGTTAAGGCACTTTCTTTTTAATTTTAAAAAAAGCCTTAGGAAGAAGCCAAAGAAATGACCACTTGTGAACAGTGCCCACAAGGCAAATATATACAGCACCTTTTGTTTTTATGCTAATAACCAGATGCCAAGCTATCACCTTGCAGCCACATGGTCCCAAGAAATCATTCTCTGTCTCAACACTATAAAATCTGTGCCTTCAAATTGAGTGCAGGTCTCAAAGTTTCCCTTCTGCTAAAACTGGTGCTTAGAGAGAAATATTGAGAATCTACGAAAACACTGAATTCATAAGAACAACGAAGCCAGCTGATAAGAAGTATTAATATTTACTTTTTTTTCTTGAAATATTATACTATCAAATTCCCTCCAGCTTCAAATAAAGGGAAAGAAAGTTTTTTTTTTATACACAGCACGAGAAATAGGACGACATTCAAAAATAGTCTTGCACACACAACAATAGTTTCATTTTATTTATCTGGTTTTCACTTTTGTGTCCTCTTGGTATATATACTTATTTAACTACAACGGATAGTCTAAATAAAAAATAATTAGTATTATTTTTTTTCAGACTTTACAGATGCACCATAAATTGATGACATCACACACACACATCAACTGATGTTAGTTTAGCTGGCTCCCCAGTAAGGTGAACTGTAAGACTGTTTACTTCCTGTCGGTTTGCCCTGACTGCTGCCCCCTTGAGAACGTTGATTTGATCCACCCTGCGGACCGTCACCATGCATCTGATGTGCAAGCATCTGCGAGTGGTGCTGGTGCTGATGCTGGTGGGGATGAGGTGCCATCATTTGTACAAACGGAGCAGGTGTAGCAGCATATCCTGTAGCTGGATTCATAGTCCCACCCTGTGCCCCGCTGGCCAATGGTATGTTAAATGGTGGTGGTGTTCCAGCATGGAAGCCTTGCTTGTCAAATGATTGGGCATGAGCCTTATTTCCATATGCAGATCCAGCCATATCAGTAGTTGCACTTGTAGCAGACGTCACAGACACTGAAATTAAATTTAGATACAATATTACAACATGCCAGCTATTAATTATTATTAGCCTAGAATCCATATGCTTTCCAAGGACAGCATGACATCTACAATAAATATATTGATCAGCTATTTATAATTGTAGCAAATAAAAAGTAATTTACTTCCCATGGTTCAAGATTTGATCAGGCCATAATAATTTGACGTTTGAATACATTTACATGGCTAACAAGTTAAGCCATTCATGCATGCTATGTGAGCACTTATTGAAGAGATCTCCAATACTTGGACAGCACATATATTTAAGGTGGCGTGGCAGGGGTGGAAGTGGAATCTCCCTTTTTCAACTTTTTATATCGCAGAAATGTCATTGTTGAGTGAAAATTTCAAAATTCTATTGTGGGTAGAACACCTTTGAACTCTGTTGAAATTATTAAAAACCAGCCATGCATGGCAGTCACTGTTAGTTATCAAATTTAACATGTATAGTTTTGTTTATAGTAATGTAGTTGAAAATATACATGTCAGCAATATGATTATGATGATTGTTTAACATTGAATATATAGAGATATTGCTCTGGAACAGCATTAATTTATTGAACATAATCAGTCAAAGCATGCCAGAGATATGGCTCTAGAAGCCCATTCATTAAAAAACAAGTCATTGTCAATGACACGTCCCCGTTCCGTTCATATTTGAGTGACATGTACATTCAAAGCAGATCATGATCGAAATGCACCTGCATATGTACAACACATTGTTCTAAATCTGAACAAAATCCATTCATGCATGACTGAGATCGGGTTCCGGAATTGTGAAAATACGTGATCTTGATGCATTTTCGGCCTTAAAATGGCCATCATTCAGCCATTGTTAAGCGAATCATGAAACAAACGCACATATCTATTTGTGACATGATGTACCATGTGTGTATGAAGTTTGAACTTGATCAATCCAGACATGTCTTGGATACGGATCCAGAACTGAATTCTTTAAAACAAAATGGCCGCCAGTCGGCCATTTCGAATTTGATCCGGAAAACAAATGACGTGCATCAAGGTCCCATTATGTTTGATGTATGTACCAAATTTGAACAAACTCCGTCCATGCATAACTGAGATCCGGGTCCGGAATGGTGAAAATGTGTGATTTCAATGCATTTTCGGCCTTAAAATGGTCGCTATTCGGCTATCGTTAATTCGGATCATGAAATAAAATGCATGTGCATATGTCTCATAATGTGTAATGTATGAGTGAAGTTTGAACTTAATCGGTCCATGGCATGTTCGAGATAAAGGTGATCACGGACGCACGCACGGACGCACACAGGGCAAAACATAAGTCCCCGTTTTCGGACTACGTTCCGAACGGGGACTAAAAAATGGCCGCTTGTCAGCCATTTTGAATCCGATCTGAAAAATACAAGTCATTGTTAATGACAGTCTCCGTCCAAAATTTTGTGATCTGACATATCAATTTGATGCTGATGAAGTCATTGAGATTAGATTGAAACCATTAATAGGAGATGGATTTGTAAAAAATTATGATTTAGTGCTTTTACACAAGAATTGGACATTGGGCAGTCACATTGAATCAAATTACAAAAATAATGTTCATGTTGATGTATCTATTGGTATATTGTCTTTGTACAAAATTTAAAGAGAAACGTTCAATGCATTCATGAGAAAGAAGCATGGGTACCATGAAAAACAAAAATGACGTGCATCAAGGTCCTATAATGTCCAATGTATATACCAAGTTTCAACAAAATCCATCTAAACAGCCGAGAAATGCTTAATTTTGATGATTTTTCAGTACAAAAATGGTTGCCATTCGGCCATCTTAAATCAGATCATGAAACAAATTAATGTGCATATGTAT